GACCCCCCAAAAAGCCCCTCAGACCCCCCAAAAAGCCCCCAGACCCCCCAGAGCCCCCCCAGACCGCGATGTCCCCTGTCCCCAGGGCCTCAGCTTCCACCTGGCCGCGGTGCTGCTCTCCCTGGGCCTCATCACCTACGCCGAGCACGGTCAGCGCCGGCCCTTTAAGGGGCGGGGCTGGGGCGGGGCAAATGGGAGGGGCTTAACTAGCGGGGGTTTAAAGGTGGGTGTGGCCTAAAGGTGTGGGTGGGGCTTCACTGCTGTGGGCAGAGCCTGGTGGTGCTGGGTGGGGCTACGAGGGTGTGGGTGGAGCCTGCAGTGATGGGCGGGGCTATGTGGGTGTGGGTGGAGCCTGCCATAATGAGCAAGGCTATTAGGAGTGGGTGGAGCCTACTGTGATGGGTGGGGCAGTGTAGGTGTGGGTGGAGCCTGCAGTGATTGGCAGGGCTATGAGGGTGTGGGTGGAGCCTGCAGTGATGGGCGGGGCTATGATGGGTGTGGCCTGCAGTGATGGGCGGGGCTATGACCTGCAGTGATGGGCAGGGCTGTGAGAGGATGTGGGTGGAGCCTGCAGTGATGGCAGGGCTATGTGGGCGGAGCCTGCAGTGATGGGCAGGGCTATGTGGATGTGGGTGGAGCCTGCAGTGATGGGAGGGGCTGTAATGGGTGGGTGGAGCCTGTGGTGATGGGCAGGGCTATGTGGGCGGAGCCTGCAGTGATGGGCAGGGCTATGTGGATGTGGGTGGAGCCTGCAGTGATGGGCAGGGCTATGTGGGCGGAGCCTGCGGTGATGGCAGGGCTATGTGGGCGGGGCCTGCAGTGATGGGCAGGGCTATGTGGATGTGGGCGGGGCCTGCGGTGATGGGCAGGGCTATGTGGGTGGAGCCTGCAGTGATGGCAGGGCTATGTGAGTGTGGGCGGAGTCTGCGGTGATGGGCAGGGCTATGTGGGTGGAGCCTGCAGTGATGGGCAGGGCTATGTGGGCGGAGCCTGCAGTGGGGGGGGGGGGGGGGGGGGGGGGGGGGGGGGGGGGGGAGGGGGGGGCCCGGGGGGCCCCAGGGGAGGGCACAGGGGTTGGGGGGCTCTGAGGGGAGGGCTGGGGGCACAGCCAGAGGGTTCGGGGTTCCTGCAGGCACTCGGGGGGATTTGGCGGCTTTGGGGGGGTCCCTGAGGTTTCCGGGGTCCCACAGACGCTGTGGTTGTGGGGGGTGAACAGGGGATTTGGGGGTCCCTGAGGGTTTTGGGGGTCCCTGGAAGGTTTTGGGGGTCCCTGAGGGTTTTGGGGGTCCCTGGAAGGTTTTGGGGGTCCCTGAGGGTTTTGGGGGTCCCTGAGGGTTTTGAGGTCCCTGAGGTTTCTGGGGTCCCGCAGACGCTGTGGGTGTGATCAGGGGTTTTGGGAGTCCCTGAGGGTTTTGGGGTCCCTGAGGTTTCCGGGGTCCCGCAGACGCTGTGGGTGCGGGCTCTGAACGCGGCCCTGGGCGCCCTGGCCCTCTTCCACCTGTCCTACCTGGGCGCCCTGTTCGATGTGGAGGCTGAGGATGCCGTGGAGGAGCAGGTGGGACCCCCGAGCCCCCCGGAGCCCCTCGAGGTTTGGGGTCGCCATTGGGCGCGCCCTGACGCCATCTCGCCCCTCAGGGCTACGGCATGGCCTACACCGTGCGCAAGTGGTCCGAGCTGAACTGGGCCAGCCACTGGGTGACGCTGGGCTGCTGGGTGCTGGCCCGGCTGTTGCGCTGAGGCTCTGCGAGGCCACTGGGGGCAAACTGGGAGCACTGGGAGCCACTGGGCGCGCCTGGGAGGACCGGGCGCCACAGAGAGCGCGGCCGCTGCGGCCGCCCCGCGGGGGCCGCTCCGCGCCGCCGGCAGCGCCTCTCGATGGTCCCGACTTCCGCTCCGGGGCTTTCCCGCGCTTTCTCGGGCGGAAGTGGCGCCGCGCGGCCGCCGTGGGACCAATAAAGCCTCGCCTCGATGGTTCCTGTCAATCATTCCCGGGTGGCCAATGGGAACGCGAAGGGCGGCGCATGCGCGGACGGGTTGGGGGGGTTTGGCGCCCCCTGGCGATGGCTCGGAATCAAAGCTTTGACCAAAATCCTCTTAATTCACCTCAAAAACGCGCGGGGGGCCCTATGGCCACTATAGGGACTGGGGGGGGACCTATAGCCCCCGGAGCGGGGGTGGGGGAGAGCGGCCATAGTGCTCCTATGGGAACCAGGAGTGCCCCTGTATCCCCTACGGGGACTGGGGGGGTCCATAGGGCCAATATAGGGACTGGGGGGGGACCTATAGCCCCCGGAGCGGGGGTGGGGGAGAGCGGACATAGTGCTCCTATGGGAACCAGGAGTGCCCCTGTATCCCCTATAGGGACTGGGGGGGTCCATATGGCCCCTATAGGGACTGGGGGGGAGGGTCCCTATAGCCCCCAGGAGAGGGAGGGTCCATATGGCCCCCACAGGGACTGGGGGCAGGGTCCATATGGATGCTATAGGGCCCGAGGGGGAGGGTCCATATGGATCCTATAGGGCCCGGGGGGTCGCTCGGAGCCGTCAGGTGCCCTTGGCCTTGCTGGGAGACCTGCAAGAGAGAGAGACCCTGAGGGACCCTATGGATCCTGTGAGGCCTGGGGGGCTCCAGGGGGGTCTGTAGGGGCTGGGAGAGCTCCGTGGGATCCCCTGGGCAGTCCCCTATGGATCCCATCGAGCCCTGGGGGGCTCCTGTGGCATGCAGGAGAGACCCTATGGATCCTGTACGGCCCTGAGTGGCTCCTGAGACATCTGGGCAGTGTCCCCTATGGATCCCATACCGCCCTGGGCATCCCCTATGGATCCTGTATGGCCCTGGGGGGCTCCCATGGATCCTGTGGGGCCTGGGCAGTGTCCCCTATGGATCCTGTGGGGCCTGGGCAGTGTCCCCTATGGATCCCATGGGTCCCCAGGCAGCCCCTAGGGATCCCACACAGCCCCGGGCAGTCCCCTATGGATCCCATAGGACCCCAGCCCGTGTTAGTGTGTTAGTGCCCCCCCACACGCGCTTTAACCAAATCCGCCTTTATTAGCCCCAAAGCTCGTTAAAAACGCGCCCGGCCCCTCCCCCCTACAAAATCTGTACATCCGGCCCCTCCCCCACCGGGCGGGGGGGCTGGGGGGGAGGGGATCCCCACAGAGGGGGCAGGGTCCCAATGAGCCCCTCATTAACTCTTCATTAACCCCGCTGACCCCGTTAACCTCTGCCCTCGTTAACCCAGAGCTCCTTCATTAACCTCATTAACCCCACTGACCTCATTAATGTCCAAGACCCAAATCGCCTTAATGAGCTGCCCATAATTAATGAGTCCCTGCAGGTCCCTAACGAGCCTTAATGAGCCCCCACCACCCAATCAAGGCCAAGACCGGGGGGGTCCCCCCTTGCTGACCCTGGGGACCCCCGAGCTCCTCCACCATCCTAACGAGCCCTAATGAGCATAACAAGCCTAATGAGCCCCTGCCACCTGCGGACCCCTCACTGCTGACCCCTCAGTGCTGACCCCTCACCTGGGCACCCTCACCTGCTGACCCCTCAGTGCTGACCCCTCACCTGGGCACCCTCAGTGCTGACCCCTCACCTGAGCACCTTCACCTGGGCACCCTCACCTGCTGACCGCTCACCTGCTGACCCCTCACCTGGGCACCCTCAGTGCTGACCCCTCACCTGGGCACCCTCACCTGCTGACCCCTCAGTGCTGACCCCTCACCTGGGCACCCTCAGTGCTGACCCCTCAGTGCTGACCCCTCACCTGGGCCCCCTCACCTGGGCCCCCTCACTGCTGACCCCTCAGTGCTGACCCCTCACCTGGGCACCCTCACCTGCTGACCCCTCAGTGCTGACCCCTCACCTGGGCACCCTCAGTGCTGACCCCTCACCTGGGCCCCCTCACCTGGGCACCCTCACTGCTGACCCCTCAGTGCTGACCCCTCACCTGGGCACCCTCACCTGGGCACCCTCACTGCTGACCCCTCAGTGCTGACCCCTCACCTGGGCACCCTCAGTGCTGACCCCTCACCTGGGCACCCTCACCTGCTGACCCCTCAGTGCTGACCCCTCACCTGGGCACCCTCACCTGCTGACCCCTCAGTGCTGACCCCTCACTTGGGCACCCTCAGTGCTGACCCCTCACCTGGGCACCCTCACCTGCTGACCCCTCAGTGCTGACCCCTCACCTGGGCACCCTCACCTGCTGACCCCTCACCTGGGCACCCTCAGTGCTGACCCCTCACCTGGGCACCCTCACCTGCTGACCCCTCAGTGCTGACCCCTCACCTGGGCACCCTCACCTGCTGACCCCTCAGTGCTGACCCCTCACCTGGGCACCCTCACCTGCTGACCCCTCAGTGCTGACCCCTCACTTGGGCACCCTCAGTGCTGACCCCTCACCTGGGCACCCTCACCTGCCGCCCCCTCAGCCGGGCCCCCGCCCCGCTCACGGCCCCCCGTCCCCTCCCCGTCCCGGTGGCCCCCCGGCCGTCCCCAGGGCTGCCTAGGGCCCCACTGACTTGCCGCCGTCCTGGCTGCGGTGGCCGGCCTGGCCGCGGGGCCGCCCGTAGAGCACCACGGCGGCCAGCACCATGGCGGTGCCGGCCAGGAAGGGCGCGCGCGGCCGGAAGCCGAAGAGGTGCGCCGAGGCGGCCGTGGAGGCCAGGATGGACAGCGCCGTGGCGAAGCCCTTGAGGATGTTGTCGGCGTAGCGGACCACCACGGCCACCAGCAGCCCCCCGGCCGCCTGGTTGACCACCACGGCCCACACGGCGCCGTTGTAGCCGTAGAAGAAGCCGAGCGCGGCCACGGCCGGGCCCTCGGCGGCCAGCATGGCGCCCAGCCCCACGGCCGTGCCCACGGCGCCCAGCTGCACGTTGCGCAGCCAGATGGAGCCGCCCGAGCGCTTCAGCAGCCGCTCGAAGTAGACGCCGGCGAAGCCCGAGGACAGGCAGGAGGCGGCCACGGCCGCCAGCCCCACGGCGTAGCTCTGCGCCGGGCCCTCGGGGCCCGCGGACGGCGCCAGCGCCGCCGGAGGGGGCACGGCCCGCGCCTGCTCCGCCTGCACCAGCGCCACGCCCGCAAAGAGCAGCGCCAGCGACAGCCACTGCAGCCGCGACAGCGCCGTGCCCAGCAGCAGCACCGAGAACAGCGCCGTGGTCAGGATCTTCAGCTGGTACGTCACCTGCGGGAGGGGGACAGTCAGCTGGGGACGGGGACAGGGACAGGGACATGGGGACAGGGACATGAGGACAGGGACATGGGGAGAGGAACATCTTCAGCTGGTACGTCACCTGCGGGATGGGGACGGGGACAGTCAGCTGGGGACGGGGACAGGGACATGGGGAGAGGGACATGGCGACAGTCAGCTAGGGACAGGGACATGGGGACAGAGACATGGGAACAGGGATGGGGACAGTCAGCTGGGGACGGGGACAGGGACATGGGGACAGGGACAGGGACAGTCAGCTGGGGACGGGGACAGGGACATGGGGACAGGGACAGGGACAGTCAGCTGGGGACGGGGACAGGGACATGGGGACAGGGACAGGGACAGTCAGCTGGGGACGGGGACAGGGACATGGGGACAGGGACAGGGACAGTCAGCTGGGGACGGGGACAGGGACATGGGGACAGGGACATGGGGACAGAGACATGGGGACAGGGATAGCATCTTCAGCTGGTACGTCACCTGGGGGATGGGGACAGTCAGCTGGGGACATGGACATGGGGACAGGGACATGGAGACAGGGACATGGGGAGAGGGATGGGGACAGTCAGCTGGGGACGGGGACACGGGACAGGGACATGGGGACAGGGATAGGGACAGTCAGCTGGGGACAGGGACATGGAGACAGGGACATGGGGAGAGGGATGGGGACAGTCAGCTGGGGACAGGGACACAGGGAGAGAAACAGCATCTTCAGCTGGTACGTCACCTGCGAGGATGGGGATGGGGACAGTCAGCTGGGGACAGGGACACAGGGAGAGAAACAGCATCTTCAGCTGGTACGTCACCTGCGAGGATGGGGATGGGGACAGTCAGCTGGGGACGGGGACATGGGGACAGGGACATGAGGAGAGGAACAGCATCTTCAGCTGGTACATCACTTGTGGGGACAGGGGTAGGGACAGGGACAGTCACCTGGGGACAGGGACAGTCAGCTAGGAACAGGAACATGGGGACAGTCACCTGCAGACAGGGATGGGGACATGGGCACAGAGACATGGGGACAGTCACCTGGGAGACAAGCACAGTCACTGGGGGACAGCAGGGACAGGGACATCACCTGTGGGGACAGGGGTGGGGACAGGGACAGTCACCTGGGGACAGGGACAGTCAGCTAGGAACAGGAACATGGGGACAGTCACCTGCAGACAGGGATGGGGACATGGGCACAGAGACATGGGGACAGTCACCTGGGAGACAAGCACAGTCACTGGGGGACAGCAGGGACAGGGACAGTCACCTGGGAACAAGAACAGGGTCACCTGGGGACAGTCACCTGGGGACAGGGACAGGGTCACCCTGGAGACAGGGACAGCTGGTGACAGCAGGGACAGGGTCACCTGCAGGATGGGGACACAGTGACACATGGGGGACAAGAACACCTGAGGACAGGGACACCTGCAGGGACAGCAGGGATCTGGTCACATGGGGACAGGGACACCTGTGGGGACAGGGACACCTGTGGGGACAGGGACAGGATCTGCAGCTGGCATGTCACCTGTGGGACAGCAGGGACAGGGTGACATGGGGATAGGGACACCTGGGGACAAGGACAGGGATGAGAACAGGGTCACCTGCAGGACACAGACACAGGTGTGACATGGGCACAGGGACACAGATACTGTCACCAGCAGGGACATCAGGGACAGGGACCCTGGACATCGTCACAGGGACATGGGGACAGGAACACGGGAACTGTGACTGTCAGAAGGACATGAGGACAAGGACACTGTGACCGTCACAGGGACACGAGAAGAGAGACATAGTGACTGTCACAGGGACATGACAACAAGGACACCATGACTGTCACAAGGACACGGGCACAGGGACAGCACCACGGTCCCCAAGGTCCCTGAGCTCATCACCTCCCCGTGTGCCACCTGTCCCCATGCACCACCTGTCCCTGTGTGCCACCCGTCCCCGTGTGCCAGCTGTCCCCATGTGCCACCTCCCCCCATGTGCCACCCGTCCCCGTGTGCCACCCATCCCCATGTGCCACCTGTCCCCACGGGCCAGCTGTCCCCGTGTGCCACCCATCCCCGTGTGCCACCCGTCCCTGTGTGCCACCTGTCCCTATGCACCACCCGTCCCCGTGTGCCAGCTGTCCCCATGTGCCACCTCCCCCCATGTGCCACCCATCCCCGTGTGCCACCTGTCCCTATGCACCACCTGTCCCCGTGTGCCACCCGTCCCCTGTCCCACCTGGAAGGTGGCCGCGGGCAGGTTGGAGATGGCCACGTACTGCAGGTTGTTCTGCAGGGTGTAGATGAGGGAGGGGACAGCCAGGCGCAGCGTGTCCCCAAACTGTCCCACCACGGCCTCGTGCAGCGTCACCGCCGTCTGCCGGACACTGCCTGGGGGGACAGGGCTCGGTGACAGGGACGTGCCCGGGCTGGCCACGGCCACTCCGCCCCTGTCACCCCCCACCGCGACTCCCCCACGGCTCTGCCACTTGTCACCTTCACCCCTCCAAAGTCCCCAATGTCCCCTGTGTCCTCACCGTGTGACCCCTCCCAAGTCCCCTCCTGGTGCCTCGTGTCCCCTTTGTGTCCCCATCGCCCCAGCCCGTGCTCACCTCAGAGCTGGAGGATGGCACGGCACCAGGTGTGGCCCTGTCCCCGTGTCCCCACTATCCCCATGTCCCCACTGTCCCCATGTCCCAGTGTCCCCAAAATACCCATTATCCCCAAGGTCCCTGCTGTCCCCAATGTCCCCACTGACTCTGGTGCTGGATGAGCAGCAGCAGCAGGCACAGCTCCATGTCCCTGTGTCCCTGCTGTCCCCAATGTCCCCATGTCCTACCCCAGTGCTGGATGAGCAGCAGCAGCAGGCACAGCCCCATGTCCCCATGTCCCCAGTGTCCCCATGTCCCCGTGTCCTACCCCGGTGCTGGATGAGCAGCAGCAGCAGGCACAGCCCCATGTCCCCATGTCCCCAGTGTCCCCATGTCCCCGTGTCCTACCCCGGTGCTGGATGAGCAGCAGCAGCAGCAGGCACAGCCCCGTGTCCCCATGGTGTGACACGTGCACAGGGACACAGATACTGTCACCAGCAGGGACATCAGGGACAGGGACCCTGGACATCGTCACAGGGACATGGGGACAGGAACACGGGAACTGTGACTGTCAGGACATGAGGACAAGGACACTGTGACCGTCACAGGGACACGAGAAGAGAGACATAGTGACTGTCACAGGGACATGACAACAAGGACACCATGACTGTCACAAGGACACGGGCACAGGGACAGCACCATGGTCCCCAAGGTCCCTGAGCTCATCACCTCCCCGTGTACCACCTGTCCCCGTGTGCCACCCATCCCCATGTGCCACCTGTCCCTATGCACCACCCGTCCCCGTGTGCCAGCTGTCCCCGTGTGCCATCCGTCCCCGTGTGCCACCCGTCCCTGTGTGCCACCTGTCCCTATGCACCACCTGTCCCCGTGTGCCAGCTGTGTCCTGTCCCACCTGGAAGGTGGCCGCGGGCAGGTTGGAGATGGCCACGTACTGCAGGTTGTTCTGCAGGGTGTAGATGAGGGAGGGGACAGCCAGGCGCAGCGTGTCCCCAAACTGTCCCACCACGGCCTCGTGCAGCGTCACCGCCGTCTGCCGGACACTGCCTGGGGGGACAGGGCTCGGTGACAGGGACGTGGCCGGGCTGGCCACGGCCACTCCGCCCCTGTCACCCCCCACCGCGACTCCCCCACGGCTCTGCCACTTGTCACCTTCACCCCTCCAAAGTCCCCAATGTCCCCTGTGTCCTCACCGTGTGACCCCTCCCAAGTCCCCTCCTGGTGCCTCGTGTCCCCTTTGTGTCCCCATCGCCCCAGCCCGTGCTCACCTCAGAGCTGGAGGATGGCACGGCACCAGGTGTGGCCCTGTCCCCGTGTCCCCACTATCCCCATGTCCCCACTGTCCCCATGTCCCAGTGTCCCCAAAATACCCATTATCCCCAAGGTCCCTGCTGTCCCCAATGTCCCCACTGACTCTGGTGCTGGATGAGCAGCAGCAGCAGGCACAGCTCCATGTCCCTGTGTCCCTGCTGTCCCCATGTCCCCATGCCCCCGTGTCCCCGCTCACCCCGGTGCTGGATGAGCAGCAGCAGCAGAATCTCCGGAGCCTCCCCCGTCCGCCGCCCCCGGGGCCGCCATGGTGGCACCTGCACAGCACTTCCGCTTCCGGCCACGCCGCGGCTCCGCCCACAGAGGGGGAGCGGCTCCGCCCCCGCTCGGTCCAGCCAATCCCCGCGCGCACTTTCGCGCGGCGCCACGCCCTCCGAGCCAGCCAGACCAATCAGCGCTCGCCTCGCGCGCTTCCCGCCGCCGACTCGCGCGGTTTCCGCCTCTCTCCCCACAAGCCACGCCTCCCTCACCCACAGACCAATCGCCGCTCTTCTCACCTCTCACACCCCCCTTAGGCTCCGCCCAGCACTCGCACCACCTCCCCCTCCGCAAACCCACCAATCCCCGCCCGCCTTCCTCACGCGTCGCCCAATCAGCGCCCGCCGCTGGCAGGGCCGCAGCCAATCAGGGGCAGCGGCGCTCGGCGGGCCGGCGCATTCCAAGATGGCGGCGGTGGCGGGCGGGTCGCGGCGCTGGGACCCGGCGGCGCTGGGGCTGGACCCGTCCTGGCGCCTCACGGCCTACGGCGAGCTGCGCGGCTGAGGCTGCAAAGTCCCGCAGGAGACGCTGCTCAAGCTCCTGGCGGGACTGGAGGGGCAGCGCCCGGGAGGAGGAGGCGGAGGGGAAGGGGCGGAAGCGGAGAGCGGCGGGGCCCCGGCGCTGGGTGAGAGAGCGGAGAGCCCGGCAGGGCCGCGGGGAGCCTCGGACCGGGGGCCTGGGGGCTCCGGGCGGGCTCAGGGACACGGCGGGGGCGCTGAGGGGTCTCAGGGGCTTGGGGGAGCCCTCAGAGGGGCGCTGAGGGGTCTGGGGGAGCCAGGAGGGCTCGGGTCGGTGCTGGATGAGCAGCAGCAGCAGGCAGGCGCTGCCCTTCATGGCCTCGGCCATCACCACGGCGGTGGTGGGCAGGAAGCGCTCCCCGGGCAGCGTGCGCACGTAGCGGATGCTGAGCACCAGCGACGCGTTCTGCAGCACCAGCACGCCCAGGCTGGCGTACTTCACCCGCCACGACACTGTGGGACACCGGGGTCACCGGGCTGAGCCCCCCTGAGACCCCCGGGAAGGGAACTTCCCCCACCACGACACTGTGGGACACCGGGGTCACCGGGCTGAGCCCCCCTGAGACCCCCGGGAAGGGAACTCCCCCCACCACGACACTGCAGGGACACCGCGGGTCACCGGGCTGAGCCCCCCGAGACCCCCCAGGATGAGGATTTCACCCGCCACGACACTGCGGGCACACTGGAGTCACTGAGGGGGGCAGGAGGACACCGGGCTGAGCCCCCCTGAGCCCCCGGGCTGAGTCCCCCTGAGCCCCCCGATCCCCCCGGGACGGGAACTCGCCCCGCCGGGACACCGGGGGTCCCACGGTGGGACCTCCCCTCACACCCTCCGGACCTGCCCCAAAGCCCCGCCCAGCCACGACCCCTCTGCCACCACTGATTTGGGAAAGAATGGTATTTGGGGACGGAGGGAGGGAGGAAGGGAGGGAGGGAGAGGGAGGGGCCCCCGCGGATCCGGCTCCCCCCTCCCGCCCGCATCCGCGTTCCCCTCCCCATCCGGCTCTGCCTGAGCCTGGGTCCCCCACCCCCGGCGGGGGCTGTGCTGCCATGAGGGGCTCGGTGCCCCCCTTGTGCCACCCCTGGTGGGTTCGGTGCCCCCCTCATGCCACCCGTCATGGGCTCAGTGCCCCCGTTGTGCCCCCCATGAGGGGCTCGGTGCCCCAGTCATGGGCTTGATGTCCCCCTTGTGCCACTCCTGGTGGGCTTGGTGCCCCCACTGAGGGCTCAGTGCCCCCTCTCATGCCCCCCATGATGGGCTCAGTGCCCCCGTCGTGCCCCCCTGAGCGCTCGGTGCCCCCCATGAGGGGCTTGGTGCCCCAGTCATGGGCTTGATGCCCCCCCTGGTTCCCCCCCTGAGCCCTCGGTGCCCCCCTGGTGCCCCCCTGAGCCCTCGGTGCCTGGGGCTCGGTGCCCCCCTTGTGCCACCCCTGGTGGGTTCGGTGCCCCCCTCGTGCCACCCGTCATGGGCTCAGTGCCCCCCTGGTGCCCCCCTGAGCCCCCGGTGCCCGCAGGCATCGGGCTGGACTCGTGTGTGATCCCGCTGCGGCACGGGGGGCTCTCGCTGGTGCAGACCACCGACTTCTTCTACCCCATCATCGATGACCCCTACATGATGGTACCCCAGGAATAGCCCCTGCACCCCAAAGTCACCCCAAAACCACCCCTGGGACCCCAAAAACCCCCCTGGGACCCCATCAATACGTCTTGCACCCCAGCCCCATCCTCTGCCCTCTGGGACCCCCTCAATACCCCTTGCACCCCAAAAAAAAACACCTCGGACCCCTCCTTGGGCCCCATAAACACGCCCTTGCACCCCAAAATCAGCCCTGGGGCCCCCCCAGATCCCATCAGGACTCTTGGGAAACTCCAAATTGCCGTTCGCCCCCCCAGGGAACCCCCAAATCCCTCCAGGGGGCCCCCCAGTTCTCCCCTGAGCCCCCTGAGTCTCTTCCTCCCTCCTGGGACCCCCAAACCTTCCTGGGCCCCTCCCCAGACCCCACTGGGGTCCCCCAGTTCTACCCTGGACCCCCCAAACCTCACCCTGAGTATCCCAAATCCTTTCAGGCCCCCCAAATTCCATCTGCAGACCCCAAGATCTTCCTCTACACCCCAAAATCCACCCTGGGAACCCCACATCCCACCCTGGGCACCCCAAATTCCCCCAAGGACCCCCAAATCTGACTCTGGGCACCCCAAATCCCCCCTGGGGACCCCAAATTCACTCAGAACCCCCCAGTCCCATCCTGGCCACTCCAAATCCACCCTGGGGACCCCAAATCCCCTGTGGGGACTCCAGATCCCCTTTGGACCCCCACGGATTTGATCCCAAGGCCCCCAAACTCCACCTTGGACCCCTCCAATCCCACTTTGGGCCCCCAAACACCATTGGGGTCCCCCAGTCCTGTCCTGGACCCCCCAATCCCATTTTGGGCCCCCCCAATCCCATTTTGAGCCCCCCCAATCCCATTTTGGGCCCCCCCAATCCCATTTTGGGCCCCCCAGTCCTGTTGCAGACCCCCCAAACCCCTCCCCCGTTGCAGGGCCGCATCGCCTGTGCCAACGTGCTGAGTGACCTGTACGCCATGGGGGTGACAGAGTGTGACAATGTCCTGATGCTGCTGAGCGTCAGCCAGCGCATGAGCGAGGAGGTGACAGGGACACGGGGGGGGACAGGGACACACCCTGAGTGTGACAATGTCCTGGTGCTGCTGGGCGAGGAGGTGGCAGGGACAGGGACATGGGGGGGACAAGGTGACAATGTCCTGGTGCTGCTGGGCAAGGAGGTGACAGGGACAGGGACACGGGGGGGACAGGGACACACCCTGAGTGTGACAATGTCCTGGTGCTGCTGGGCGAGGAGGGGACAGGGACAGGGGACATGGGGGGGACACAGAGACACACCCTGAGTGTGACAGCGTCAACCAGCACATGAGGGAGGGGGTGACAGGGACATGGGGAGGACAGGGTGACAATGTCCTGGTGCTGCTGAGCAAGGAGGTGACAGGGACAGGGACATGGGGAGGGGGCTCGCAGTGACACTGGGGACAGGGGACAGGGGGTGGCAGGGATGAGAGTGACAGATGTATTGAGGGGACAGGAGTGGGTCACAGGGACACTGAGGGGTGGCAGGGGCACTGAGGGGTGGCAGGGACACAGGAGGTGACAGTGACACAGCAGGGACAGGGACATTGGGGGGTGACAGGGGACACTGAGGGGGTGACAGGGACACTGAGGGGGTGACAGGGACACAGGAGGTGACAGGGCCGGGCACTGAGGGGTGGCAGGGACACAGGAGGTGACAGTGACACAGCAGGGACGGGACACTGAGATGACAGGGACATTGGGGGTGACAGGGGACACTGAGGGGTGGCAGGGTCACAGGAGGTGACAGGGCCGCTGGTGTCCCCCCAGGAGAGGGACAAGGTGATGCCGCTGATCATCCAGGGCTTCCGGGACGCGGCCGAGGACGGGGGGACGTCGGTGACAGGGGGACACACCGTGCTCAACCCCTGGGTCATCGTGGGGGGCGTGGCCACCGCTGTCTGCCAATCCAGCGAGTTCATCATGTGAGTCCTGGGCGGGGCCACTGGCCCCTGCCAATCACGGGTGTGACAGGGTCACTGCCACCTGTCAATCACTGCTGTGATGGGCGGGGCCACTGCCACCTGCCAATCACTGGTGTGATGGGCGGGGCCACTGCCACCTGCCAATCATGGGTGTGATGGGCGGGTCCACTGCCACCTGCCAATCACTGGTGTGATGGGCGGGGCCACTGCCCCCTGCCAATCATGGGTGTGATGGGCGGGGCCACTGCCACCTGCCAATCACTGGTGTGATGGGCAGGGCCACCTGTCGATCACTGCTGTGATGGGCGGGTCCACTGCCACCTGCCAATCACTGGTGTGGGGGTTGGACCACTGTGTCTGTCAATCATTGGTGTGATGGGAGGGGCCATTGCCTCCTGTCAGTCATTGGTGTGGTGGGAGGAGCTACTGCCTCCTGCCAATCATTTCTGCAAATGATGGGTGGGGCCGCTGCCATCTGTCAATCATTTCTGAGTGGCAGGGGCGGGTCCTGGGGCAGGGTCACTGCTGCCAGTGGAAGCCGTGATTGGAGGGGTGGGCGGGGCTTGGCGGGGGGTGTGGCCATGGCCACCTGTCAATCAAGTGAGGTTCTCATGAGTGGTGGGTGGGGCTTGGGGACAGGGTGGGATCATTGTCAATCAAGTGGGTTTGTCATGTGAGTGACAGGCAGGCCTTGGGAGATGGGGTGGGGTTTGGGACATG